CTCTCTCTCTCTCTCTCTCTCTCTCTCTCTCTCTCTCTCTCTCTCTCTCTCTCTCTCTCTCTCTCTCTCTCTCTTTCTCTCTTTCTCTGTCTATTTCATTCTTGCTCTCCCATCCTCTCTTTCTCTCCCACCCTCTCTTTCTCTCTCGCCCTGTCTCTCTCGTGTTACTCTACTATGTAAATGAAGCCACTAATTCGCCAGGGTAACATACCCTATGTGCACTACCCTGTCATGCCTCCCTCACTCTGCATATTCGTCTCTTGCAGTGGGAGCCGCTGATTCGTCAGGGTAACGTACCCTATGTGCATCACATCATCGTCTACGCGTGCATGTCGCGCAACGTGCCCTCGCATCTGCTGGACCAGGGCCGCCAATGCTACTTCAACATGCCCGAAATCTTCTGGGAGTGCAACGAGCCCTACTTCGGCTGGGCCATCGGCTCCGGGGTAGGTGGCGCTGCGTGCGCGTACGTGCGCGTACGTGCGCGGGACTGCAGGTCGAGGTTAGAGATGGAAAAATATGGACCAGGATGGAGATGGAAAAATAGGAAGAAAAAGAAGGATAGCGATAGGAAAATCAGCAGGAAAGAAGGGTGAAGATGGAAAAATAAAGGCAAGGGGTATGGTGCAGATGGGAGATGGTTAAGATAGAGGTGGGAAAATAGGGACAAAATAGAGGGAGAGATAGAAAATATGGACAAAGGGTAGGGTGGAGATCTGAAATAGGGGCAAACGGAAATATGGAGATGTGAAATAGGGAGAAGGATGAAGGTGTATATCGAAAATTAGTAAGTGGAGGGTGGTGATGGTCTAGGTCAACGGCTTCGGGTGCGAATATACGCCCTCCATATCCTATTCTATATAAAGGGACTACAGTATGAGTGGACTGTCTAAATCAACGGAAGTGGAGAGAGGAGGGTGGGGATCGGAGAATATAGAGATGGAGAAGGTGGGGATCAGATAATATGGAGATGGAGAGAGTGGGGATAGGAGAATATGGGGAGGATGGGGATCGAAGGATAGGGAGAGGGGGAGGCTATAAATTGGAGATTATGGAGAGGCAGTTACTGTAGAATGGAAAATAAGGGAAGGAGCAGGGGAGGAGAC